GCAACGCACGCAAGCAACGCACGCACGCACGCACGCACGCACGCACGCACGCACGCACGCACGCACGCACGCACGCACGCGTGCGTGCGTGCGTGCGTGCGTGCGTGCGTGCGTGCGTGCGTGGCGTGGCGTGGCGTGGCGTGGCGTGGCGTGGCGTTGCGTTGCGTTGCGTTGCGTTGCGTTGCGTTGCGTTGCGTTGCGTTGCGTTGCGTTGCGTTGCGTTGCGTTGCGTTGCGTGCGTTGCTTGCGTGCGTGCGTGCGTGCGTGCGTGCGTGCGTGCGTGCGTGCGTGCGTGCGTGCGTGCGTGCGTGCGTGCGTGCGTGCGTGCGTGCGTGCGTTTGTGTGTGTGTGTTGGGATGTTATCCGATGTTTTCGGGGCCCGTTCAGGAGCAACGCTTGGGAGGTGCTGGGAGGGGCGTTTTCGTGCCCACTCACGTTTGTGGACGTTGTCGTCGGTTCCTGGAGTTTCTCCTGCCTCGGGATACGGTTCAGCAGCTGCGTCCTGCAGAGAGGCGTTCGGGAGTGCCCGGATAGTCCCGAACCAGCGCCGCAAACCTGAGTTATGACCCGATGGCAAGACGACGAGGATCAATGGTGGGATCAACCCCATCGCCCCCGTGATCCCCCATTGGGCCCCGGATGCCCACCCGCCGCCCAGGTTCGTGTAGATCTGATCTTGGAGGCCTATCGCCGATTTGTCAGCGAGGCGTCGCCGATGCCAGGGCGATGTGTCCCCTTTTCTGAGCTGGTGCCCCGGAACGGTGCCCCTCGCCTGTGGTGGCGTTCCAGGATGTCGGAATCGTCCCGAACGGCCGCCTGGGGCCCAAGTCGCGACCCAGAAACCATGTCCAGGGCCTTCGCAGATCCCAACACTTTGAAACAACATCGAACCTCGAGATGGAAGATTCTCGCCGTTTACCGTCTCGGGGAGCCCTCGCTGGGCCCCAGGACCGTCAGAGAACGACGCAGACTGAAAAGCTTGGCCAGGGGACGTGGTCGAGACTGCAGGAACCCCGCATTGCAAAAAGGTACCGGACGTCTGGGCAAGAGTGGTCCTTCGCCAGAGTGATTTTTGGAGCGGGCCCTTCTTCGGTCCGCCGATCGCCGAATGGGCAGCAACGGCCTACGCGCGCGGGTTGGCCCCCCCTTTTCCCCGCTGGCCGCTGCAGCCACGCACCAAGGATCACGCTTGCGTGGGGTCACTCCGCGTATAGTCGACGGTGGCATTCGGAGTGCCATCGAAGGCCTGCGGCATTCGGCGGCCCCTCGGAGGCTTGGCGGAAACGAGGAGCTTGCAAGCGCCAAGTGGAAGAGAACAACGAACTCCAGGCATCCAACATCTCGGCAACAACCGGTACAGAGGGCTTCCCGCCGTTTCTGGCCTCGCGGGGCCGATTCTCGGGGCCCAGGGCCGTCAGAAGATGGCTTGAGACGACAAGCCGGTCCTGGGGCAAAGGGTGAGACTTCCAGGCGCCGCGCATTGAACAAAAATCAGGACGTCGACTGTTTGGGTCCCGAGGCATGTCGGGCGGACGGCAACGGGGTCCGCAAACGTGGGCAAAAGTGTCCCCAAAGAGCTCCTAGTGGGATCGAGGTGAGGTTTGAGTGGCCCCAGGGCTCCTCTAAGCTCACCACCCACCAAACCACCCCAACCCAACCCGAAGGCTCAGATTTACCCTCGATTTCCAGGGGGGGGGCCAGGAAACATAGAAAAAACACATGTGGAACCCTTACCCCCCCCAACCCGAAATTCGGGTCTTCGGGTTGGGTTGGGGTGGTCTGGTAGGTAGTCATAAACTGCCACCGCGGGCCCACGCTGTGTCACCCCCGTGTTGATTGCTCCCCCCTTTGACGGACACCTGAGCATTCGGAGGCCCTTGGTAGGGCTCTCGTACACCTTAGGCGATGCTTAAGAAAACCTAAGTTTTCGTCCAGAGTCTCGATTATTCTTAACTTTTCAATGTAAATCCCAAGATTTTGATAGAAGTTCTGGGTTTCATTCCATTTCTGAGACTATGAATTTCTTAACCCATGATTTCTTAAGCATTTCGCAGGGTGTAGGGCTTTCGTGGGGGCCTTCGTAATCCAGACCGCGAGGTCGTGGAAATGGACCTGCCGCTCGTGAAAAGGGTGACGACTTACAAGGCCCCGCATTGAAACAACAGAGCATCGAGTGCCCAGGTCCGGGGGCATGTCGGAGTGCCCTCGGAGGCCCTGGCTAGAGAGTTGTTGTTGGAGTTTTTGGGAGGGTGTTTGGAGGTTTGTTTTCTAGAAGTTGTTTGTTGTTGGTCGTCGTCGTCGATCGTCGTCGTTGTCGTTGTCGCTGTCGCTGTCGATCGTCGGCGCAGTCGTTGATCGTCGTCCGTCCTTAATCATCGCGATCGCTTAGCGTCGTCGTCGCTGGCATCGTCGTCGGCGGCGGCGTCGTCACCGTCAATCGTCGCCGCGGTCATTAATTGTCGTCGTTGTCGTCGGCGGCGTCGTCGCCGTCGATCGTCGTCGGGCGTCGAGACTCGAACAGGTCTTACGTAATGTTCTGCCTCTGGAGACCCGCTTCGGGCCCTGGAACCGTAGAAAATTAATGTCTGGAACGAGTTGCCGGGAGGGGTCCAGGGATATATTTTGAGAGGATGTTTGGGTCCGTCGTCAGCATCGTTGTCGGTCGTCGCCTTCGATCGACCGAGGTTCGAGATTAGAGAGCCGAGGTTTTTTTGGGGGGCTATGCCAGACTTCTCGTGGCCACGGCCGGATTCTACCTCGAAGCTTTTGCCATAATAGACCCTGGACAGGTTGAGGCCGGTTGTCGTCCTCGTCCGTCGTCGGTCGTCGTCGGTCTTCGTCGTCGTCCGGCGTCGTCGTCGTCGTCAGAAGCCGTCGTCGTCGGTCGTCGCGGTCGTCGTCGTCGTCGTCCGTCCTCCGTCCTCGTCCTCGTCGGTCGTCGTCGGCCGTCGTCGGCCGTCCTCGTCGTCGTCGTCGTCGTCGGCGTCGGCGTCGGCGCCGGTGTCGGCGTCTGCGTCGGCGTCGGTCGTCGATCGTCGGGCCTGCCGCTCCTTCTGTGTCGGCCTCGCTGCCTCCGTGCTCCATCGTTCCCTCTGACTCCTCTCGCTTCGCGAGGTGTACTTCAAGGACCTCCGAAGGGTCGTCGGAGAACCTTCGGAGGCTTCCGGAGTTTTTCGGGGACCGGTGGCTTCCATCAGCTGCGCCTCGTCGAGGGCGTTCCGGGGATGCTGGGACCGTCCCAGGGTTGGGCGCTGCGTAATGGGGGGGTCATAAATGGGGGGGCGGCGAGTGTGGCCCGAAAAGGTACCCAAACGGTACCTAAACGAGCCCCCTGGGGCTCTGGAGGGGCCCGAAAAGGGCACGAAAAGGGACCTTTTCTGACCCCCCCATTTGTGACCCCCCCATTAAGCCACGCCCAACAGGGTGTTGTCGGTCGTCGTCGTCGTCGTCGGCCGTCGTCGGCCGTCGTCGGTCCGCGAAGATCTGGCCTGCCGCTCCTCCCATGTCGACCTCGCTCCCTCCGTGCTCCGGCGCGTCCTGAGAGTCTTCTCGCTTCGCGGGGTGTACGCCCAGCACGCGCAAGAAAGCACAGCTGGCACGAGGGCCAAGAACGACGCCAGCTTCGGACAGGTGCCCTCGTGCACTTCGTCTCTGGGCTCTCCTCCTTGTAAGTGTCCTCGTTTGGGGAATCTCCACGGGCCGTCGGCTCTCTCGGCGGCTCACGCTGCCGATCCATGTTTCGGCGGCAGGCGCGTTGGCTGATTAGCTCCGTTCGTCTGCCGTGCTGGTCTGCCATACTCGTGTTGCCTGTGGGGAGCCTCTTGGGCTTCCTGCGGGCTTGTTCGCGTGGAGCCTCTTGTAGGCCTGTGGAGGTCTCCTGGGGCGGGGCTATCTTGGCAGGATTTGGGGAGAGACTTCCAAGGCCAGTTTGATTTCTCCTCTATGGCCCCCCTCCCGAAGGCTCGGGGCGTCCTAGAAGGAGGTGGGAACTAGGGGGTGCGGACATAATAGGCGGGGCCATGGCAGCTCCTAGATATCATGGCCCTATCCTCTTTCAGTACGCTCCCTGGTCCCCCCTCGTCCGCGCACACGCTGCGGGCCATGCTGACCTTCCGAGGCGGGGATCGATTCATAACCACCTAGGGGTTCGACCTCCGGGGACCTCAGCAAGTGGTGGATCCAGATATTCTGGCCCATCCACACACGATTCCCAGACGAGTTGCCCTCATCAGGCATGTGGAGGAGTATGCAGTGGACTGACGTGCTGGGTAATACATCATACCCCAAGAGGGGAAGCATGGAGGAGAAGTCGAAGGAGCAGGAGGAGGAGTAGGGAGAGGGAGAGGGGGAGGAGGGGAGGAATACACGGATGAGGAAGAGTAGGAGGATGAGGGCGAGCAAAACGACCAGAAATTTCTTGGATGCCTCTTAGAGCGTCTTCGCATGTCTTCCGAGAGCTTCTTGGAGCTCGGGGTGTCTTAGGGGTCTCTTGGCAGTCCCGGGGGCCTCTTGGGGCGTCTTGGGTGCCTCTGGGGAGCCTCTTCGGGCTTTTCCGGGGTCTCTTGGGAGGCTCTTGGGAGCCTCTTGGGGGTCTCTTAGGGGCCTCCTGGGCACCTCTGCGAGCCCTGTTGGGGCACTCTTGGGAGCCTCGGGGGTCATCTTGGGGCCTTCTTGGAGGTGATCGGTCACAGAAGGGAGAGGTTCCAATTAGCCCCCCCCTCTGGATTCCCAAATGAAGCCAACATCTCAGTACCATTGATGCTTTTAGCTTCCTCGTCGAGGCCATCTTGAACGCTCCAACACCTCACGAAAGGCCCGGTCCAGACCCAGGGGGGGTCTTTGGGAGGGGCAAACCCCTCCCCGAAGGGGAAGAAGGGGGTTGGATGAGGACGCTCTCTGAACCACCACGCGTTAAAAGGCTGGTGGGATCTTCGGGCTCCAAGGGGTCAGCTCATATCCATATATCCAGTGCCCCCTGAGGTCCCAGGGCGTCGGCTCCCCGGGCGGTGGTTTGGCTGGGCCCCCTCTTCGGCGCATCCATCAGAACGAGTTCCCCAGTCCAGAGGCCACTCCTGCTCAAGAGGCCGCTCCCCCTGCGAGCTCTCGCGGGCGCCCCGCAGCGCCACCCGATGGCGCCCGGCCTCCTGACCCGCCTCGCCGTCTGCGCGGCGGCGGCGGCCGCCGCGGCCGCGGACGCCGGGGCAGAAAGGTGCTCGGGCGTGGCCGGCGGGGAGGAGTGCGGCGCGGTGGCCGAGGCGAGTAGTCGGACGGGCGGAGGGCGGGAACGAGAAGGGGGATGGAGGGAGATGAGGCGGGAGTGCAGGAGGAGGAGGAGGAGGAGGAGGAGGAGCAGGAGGAGGAGGAGGGAGGAGAGGAGGAGAGGAGGAGGAGGAGGAGGAGGAGGAGGAGAAGGAGGAGGAGGAGGAGAGGAGGGAGGAGAGTTGGAAAGGGAAGGGAGAGGAGGAGGAGGAGGAGGATATAAGGAGGAGGAGGAGGAAAAGGGAGTAGGAGGAAAGGGGAGGAAGAGGAGGAGAAGGAGGAGGAAAGGGGAGTAGGAAAAGGAGGAGGAGGAAAAGGAGGAGGAGGAGGAGGAGGAGGAGCGAGCGAGAAGGAGCGAGGAGGAAGGAGGACAAGTAGCAGGAGCGGGGAGGGAAGGGCGATGACGAGGAGGAGGGAGGGGGAGGCCGCGAGGCGAAGAGGGGTGGGAGGGCGAGGCCGCGCTGGCCGAGGCGGGCTCTCTGGCGCACGTGGGGCTGCTGCAGCACGCGCACTCCGTGGAGGTCACGGGCGCGAGGAGCGGGCACGAGCGTCGAGCCCCGCCCCCGCGACTCCTTGCTCCTCTTTCTCTTGTTCCTGAGCTCCTCCTCCTCCTCCTCCTCCTCCTCCTCCTCCTCCTCCTCCTCCTCCCCCTCCTCCTCCTCCTCCATCCCTACTTCTCAAGACGAGCTCCTCCCTGTCGCTCCCCCAGACGTGTCGGAAGGGCGGACCCGGCGTGTAACTTCAGATTATCTCACCATGTACGATCATGACGTCTGGTTTTGACAAATTAACGGGTGGAGGGCGGATGGTTTTCAAAATGTGGCCCTCGCGTTCGCGCCGTGCACATGTGCCTGAAAAGTGTGTAGCAGCTTTCCTGATGAGGGGCGGGGCGTTTTGTCAGAACGTGGTTCTCGCCCTAGCGCCGCGCACATGTGTTCTTAGAGTCTGCAGCAGCTCCACGGATGAAGAGCGGGGCGTTTTCAACATGTTGTTCTCGTTTCAGCGCCGCGTGCATTTGTTACCAAAGTCTGCAGCACCTTCACGGATGCAGGGCGGTTAATTCTAGACGCTTCGCGTATCCCCGCCAATTCCGAACCCCCCTCTGGCTCAAACCGTTTCCCGGGGGTGTTCCTCCCTCCGGGGTCATAGAGGAAAGAGAACTATGCACATACACCGATTCTGGCCAGGACCATCCTGAGCCCAGGATCGGTGCATACGCCCTCTTGCCTTGGCCAGGAAGGTATATGCACCGATCCTGGGTCAAGGATGGGCGTTGTCAGGGTCGGTGCGGGTTCGCCCCCGGCCAGGTGCGGGTTCGCCCGACGCCGATGGAGCCCGCGGCGGCGCGTCGCCGACGGCAGCGGGCGGCCGCCTGGGCGGCTCGCGTCGCGGTCGCCGCCCGCGCCGGCGCCGCCGGCGCTGCGCCGCTGGCGCCGCGGGCGCTCCCCGCGCTGCGGCCGCCGCGGGCGCCGCTGGCGCGCGCGGGCCTCTGGTGCCGCCGGCGCCGCCGCGGCGCCTCGTGGCCTGCCCGCCTGCGCGGCGGTTGCCGCGGCCGCCGCTGGCGCTGCCGGCCGGCGCCACCTGGAGCCTGCAGTGCCTCCTGCGCTGGGGCTGGCGCGGCCCCGGCCGCTGGCGCCGCCGGCGGCCTGCTGGCCAGCCGCCGCCGCCGCCGCTGGCGCCGCCACGGCGGCCGGCCGCCGCGGCCGCCGAGGCCGTCGCTGCGGCCGGCCGCGGCTGCCCTGCCGCGACCGCCGCCGCGGTGGCGCGCGCAGCGGCTCTGTCGCCTGCCGCCGCCGCCGCGGCTGGCGCGGGGGCTGCCGCCGCGGCCGCCGCGGCGGGCCACCGCGGCCAGCCTGACGACCAGCCCGTCGGCCAGCCCCGTGGCCAACCCAACTGCCAGCCCCAAGGCCAGCCCGACGCGGCGGAGGCGGCGGCCGGCGGGGCCGTGGCCAGCGCCACGGCCGTTGTCGCGGCTGCCGCTGCTGCTGCCGCTGCCGCTGCCGCTGCCGGCTCCTCGCAGGCGGCGGCGGCGGCGGCGGAGGGCGCGGTGGCCGGCGCCGCCGGGGCGGAGCGCGGCCACCGCGGCCAGCCCGGCGGCCTGCCCCCAGGCCTGCCCGATTGCCAGCCCCACGGCCTGCCCCGCGGCCAGCCCCACGGCCTGCCTGACGGCCAGCGTCGGCCAGCCCCGTGGCCAGACCGACTGCCAGCCGCACGGCCGGCACCGCGGCCAGCCCTGCGGCCGGACCGAGTGCCAGCCCCACGGCCAGCCCCACGGCCAACCCGACTGCCATCCCCGCGGCCAGCCCGACGGCCTTGCCGGCCCCGCGGCCAGCCCGACGGCCAGCCCAACGGCCAGTCCGACGGCCAGCCCAACGGCCAGCCCCACGGCCAGCCTGGCCTGCGCGGCTGCCCAACAAAGCTGCCTGGTGGCATGACCACGACGCAGACCCAGCGCACCGACGGGTGGGCTGGCGCCCCGCCTACGCAGGGCGTTCCCCCTGAGACTGACTTTTCTCCTCCCTCCCTGCTCATAATTCCTCGAGATCAGACGGTTCATCGCCTACACTGGGAAGGTTGCGAAATCGGTCGCCTCTACCGAGAAGAGCGCGAAATATTGTCGCGAATCACAGGGGGAGGAGCAGGAAGAAGTCAGGGAGGACCTTGCCGACCGCCCAACACAACCCACTGGCAACTTGACCTTTTGGCACGCCCAACCACCTCGGATTCCAACTGACTCTGCGACGGTCAGTCGCTGCCACCGGGAAGAATGTGATCATGGTCACGACGCATCAGAGAGAAGACAGATAATTTTTCCGACCGCCCAGTACAAACCGCTGGCAACACGACCCTTGGGAACACCCAGCCGCCTCGGATTCCAACAGAGTCTGCGATGGTCGTTCATCTACACCGGGAAGATTGCGAAGTGGGTCGCGAACAACAGGAGAAGCGGCAGGAAGAAGATAGACAGGACCCTGCCGACCTTCCAACACAACCCACTGGCAACACGACTCCTGGGAACACCCAGCCCCCTCGGATTCCAATAGCTTCGGCGACGGTCAGTCGCCCCTTCCCGATATATGATATAGTGCGAAGATAGTAGCGAGTCGCAGGGTGAGGGGCCGGGGAGAAGACAGAAATAACCGTGCTGACCGCCCAACACAACCCACTGGCAACGCGACCCCTGGGAACGCCCAGCCGCCTCGGATTCCAAGGGGTTCTGCGACGGTTCGTCACCTGCACCGGCAAGAGGCAGGGAGCAGACAGAGAAGCGATTGCCGACCGTCCAACGAAACCCACTCGCGACACGACCCCTGGGAACGCCCAGCCGCCTCGGTTTCCAACGGACTTTGCGACGGTCAGTCGCCTCGAGTCCACTGGGAAGAGTGAAGATTGTCGCGAGTCGCAGGAAGAAGGGGGGCCCACCGCTGGGGAGGAGACCATCGAGGAGACCATCGAGCAACCTCCCCCTAACGAGCGGGACAACGAAGTCATCCTACAGCTGGTTTAGAAGAGCCCTGTCGCCCCTTTTCGCCCTCCGCCCCCAGCCAGCGACTCGACGCGCGGGCGGGCGCCCCTACGCGCGGCCACGGGGCAACGCCAGACCCCCGCCGCTCGGGCGGGGACGCGGGCTAGAGTGCCGAGGCGGGCTGGCAGCCCAGCCGGGGGGCGTCCTTCCCAGAGGTCCTCAGGATCTGCAAATATGACCCTGGATCTAGGATCTACAAATAAGATCCCCAACACTCTGTTTTAGATCCTGGATCCAGGATCTACAAATTAGATCCCAAACCCTCAGTTTTAGATCCTGGATCTAAAAATTAGATCCTAGATCCTGGATCTAAAAATTAGATCCTGGATCTAAAAAGAAGATCCTGGATCTAGGATCTATAAATTAGATCCTGGCTTTTAAAAATAAGATCCTGAAGCAAAAATTAGGCCCTGGAGTTGCTCAGTAAAAATGAAGCCTTGGCCCCTGGAACAAAACAAAGAAGCGTAGAATCAATGTTAAAGTGTTGGTTCCATTTGTTTGTGGCAATACTCTTTCCCCACCACGCCAACAGAAATGCACGGCCAGACAGGCGAGCGCACCCACAACACACGCACGGAACTTCACATTTATAAGCGTGATTGTTTATACACATACATAAGCATGCATTACACGTACGAATCGGCTCCCGCTTGATACTTCCTCACCATGTATTGCGACATCGCGTTCTCGCTGGAGACTTCCTTCCAATTTACCCCAGAATCGCGCTTTCGCGTTGGACTTCGCCTGGGGCCCCACGGCGTCGACATAATGTTTGCGGCGGGTGGGGGGCGGGATTCGCCATGCGTGCACTGCCTCGGACCGACGGGGATGTCCAGGTGCCCCTGCTCCCCCTGCCCCCTTTCGCTCACATAGGTTACTGGCTCAAGCCGACGTGAAGAGACCAGCAGCTGCCTCAGAAGAGGCGGACGTACCCGGCGACGATATTAGACCCGAGCCCTCGCCATCCCCTGATTCCGTCGGTGATAGGCCATCGCGTAGGACATGCAATGATGCAGACGGGGTTGCGGACATTCTGATGACTCACTTGACGACCGCAGCGAAGTTCAGGTACAGGGAGGAGTTAGATGGCAGTCCATGCCATGACGTGTTGACTCAATGGCAAGACCTCATCATCGCAGTGATGAAGCAGTATAATGGCGGAGCAGCACTCACCCCGAAGACGGCCACCACGGCGTTCGCCACCGTCGCGAAGCGGAACCAGCTCAAGAAAAACTGGCAGTTGGTCGGATCGGAGGCCACGGAGTGGTCAATTTCCCATGGTAAAAGGTTCAGGGCTATGCTCCGCGACGTGGGGCACAGCTTGATAAAGGCCCGTTCGCGGCCTCACAAGGCATCCGCAGACTGGCTATTGCCCTCTCTGGCTGTTTCGGTGCTCGGGGACGGAAAATACGGGCCCTGCGATTTTCTGAATGCTATGCTCGCAGCAAGTTTGAAGGTCTGGGTGCGCGCAGATGCCAATCCATCACGTTCCATCGCAGTCCATCGCAGTGCGATGGAACGCGATGGACGGCGATGGAACGCAATGGTTTGGTATCTGTGCGCGCATCTGCCTTCAACGATCTGCAAACCTAGCTGGGGCCTAGGGGGGTCGATGATGATAGTGTTCTTGCCACCCCGCCAGGTGCAACCTGCGGCTGCGGCTGCCAGGTCTGCGGCTGCGGCGTCTGCGCCTTCTGGTGGCGACGGGCCAGCCGTCGACGTCTTCGAGAGGTGCGACTTCGAGCACGACAAAGAGTTGCAGGTGAGGCGGGAGCTAACCATGGAAGCTCAACATCGCAACCGACATCGCAGCGCCGCTTCCCCCCCCCCCAGTGTGGAGGATGAGGATCTGATAGATTATGATCACGAGGATGGGGATGATGATGAGGGGGCGATAAAATGTAGCACGGATTCGGTCGGGAATCGGCACTGAAGCGAGATTGGTGTACCCAGTCGAGTTGAACATCCATGGTAGTTTCTGCGCAGGCCGCCTGGAGATGGATCGCGAT